TGTGTACAGCACCATCTACTAGCAGCTCACAGGTGGTCTGAGCATCAGCCAGCCCTTACCTCCCATCCATCTATCAGCCATGGACGGCTGTGATCAGGACCAGCGTTTGATGTGCAGAAGAACAGCAGTTTCTGACAATATCCTTGATGATGTCAGAAATGTTTCCTGCAGCCTCCACACAAGCGCACACAGGCGAGCTATAAATCCGTTTTATTGTGAGGTTGTGAGCTCATTCATAATGGAAATATTGGACGTTTTTATTACAGAGTTCATAGCCCTCTCTTTTTATAAAACATTCACACAGGCTGACTGCATCAGAATGCCATTAGGGTTCTTCCCCATAAGCAGAGTGACTTTGACTCGCTGAGTTTCACACAGAGCCACTTTCTCCTCCCTCCCATCCTGTGAATGCCATCTTTGAGGCAGATGTGAACAGAAGAGGATTTTTAGATTGGCAGACCTTAGCCCTCAGTGGTATGAAGGCTTTCTTCATCCAACCTACAGTCTACAGTCAGAGCTAAGAAAAATGCTCATAAGTAAAGGCCAATGAGTGCAATTAAAGGAAAAGTGTATTTACGTTCGATTTAAACAAGAATAAAATCATTTAAAGTCTATTTAGACCTCCTGGGTGGTCCTTCAGACACACCCGATTTGTTGAGACATGGAGTCCTTTAGATTCCTGCTTCGCTGTCTGGCACCGAGATGGCAGCAGTACATCCTTTAAGTCCTAGAAGGTGCCTGCATAGATCATATTTGTTTGTTCCACAACTGTTGGATTACAATGAAGTCTGGGGATACTGAGGGAAGGAGACCGATGTCTCAGCTCCATTTTCCCCCTAAATGACCCCTGAAGCTATATTGCTGTGTGACGGGGTGCATTGGTCTGCAGAGGGAGGTGGTAATCATCAGGAGTTCAGGTCTCCATGAAGCCGCTCTGATAAGGTGAGTGAACCGTGTCACAGTAACACCTACATACATGATGCCACGTGTTTCCCCTGGTAACCAACACGCAGAGAGACAGACGTCTAGGAGATGGAACAGCCTCAGCACCTGGCCCACGCTGTGATTCACTTTTATTTTGACTCCATTCAGTCAGAAACAAACTGTCTACCATCATTTGGACCTTTGGACCTTGCCTGGTTTCTTCCTGCTTCTAAAAAAATCCACTTTGAAGCTGAAATGTAAGTGCTGGGTATCATGTTAACTTCTCTTGGTCACCTTAGATAGGAGCATGTTATCAGTTATCTTGTTCCTAATTCAAATATTTCTGCCTCCACTGAAGTTCCTTAAAGTCGTCGGGAAGCGACTGTTCCAATCTTTGCATTTCCAAATTCTCCCAAGTGGTGCCCGACTTTACACGAGTGAATAAAGTGAACGTCGGCCATTTATCAAGGGGGCGGGATTTTTGTGGCAGAAGGTTTGCAAGCAAGTTTGATTGTGGCCGGTTTCTCAGAAGCATCCTCACCCGCAAAACTTTCTGCTGTCATTTTAAACCAGAAAAGAGGCTTTGGTACAATGGCAGAGGATTAAAAGAGCCTGTGCATGTTAGAAAATATTACTGTAGCAGAACAATATCAGTGGAGAAAAAGGTGTCTGCACAGGGACACATAGATA